TCAGGTAGGTATGATGGGCCTGACGCCCCTGCAATGCGAAATGGTCTCGAAAAGCTTTTCATACCAGTCGAACTGACGCTTGTAATGCAGATTGAACTGAGCGCGGTGCAAGGGTTGTGAACCCCTTATCTCATGTCCGAGAGAAGTGCACACACACACACACACCTCCACGCGCGAGCGTGCATGCTCACACGCATGCACACACCCATGGAACACCCACCCACACACACATACACACACAGCACTGGACCTTGCCACATTCACTTTTGCAGCACGTATACCAGCTTTCGGTTCTTGATTTGGGAGGCATCCAGTGCTAGAATCCAAAAAATTCCATCGAACGTGCTCACGGCCTGCAGGACCAGGGCAAAATTTCTGCATTCCCGTTGCCCAAGGAGGCTGCTCCAGGCACGTTGTGAAATCGGTTGGGTTAACAATTGGAAGAGCTCCAGTCCTAGGCTGCGCAGCGGTTCATGATTCATGACCTTGGGTCTCCGATTGGAGTTGTCGGTGAGAAGCTTTGCTGTCACGTATACTCTCAACACAGGATTCTGACAGAAGCTCTTGGAGTGTGCATGTCTCTCCAACAAACTTGGCAGGTGATGTCTTGCGCATAGCGTTCCAGAAGGACCAGGGCTGGCGTTGTGTGGTTGTACGGCCCAGAGAAGCCAGGCGAGGCTACGTGCTTTCGCACTGCCATGTAGATCGGTTGTGAAATCCAACAACAGGAATGCCACTTCATGTTCGTACCCCGGCTCTCATGTCCCACATCCCCTCCACCTTCCCCACACTTTCGAACCATTGTGCCCACGTGAGAAAATCAACGATATGACACGAGAATGAAGCCCCTGACCCGTCTGGTCTCCGTGCACAGCACTGGGCACCTTCCAATGATGGCACCGACGTTGGGGTTGCTAAAATCTTTCCCCCTGACACAATCCCTGTGGCAGACATGTTTCTTCCGAGGCATCTCCATCCAAGCCCCAAGCTTAAACAAATCTCCACCCTGCGACAAGATGTGTGCTTGTCGCTGTGCTGATGGTTTGGACTCCCGCAGCTTAAGTGTTCAGGTCTCGGGTCCTCGGTCATGGAATTTTAAGAGCAGTGCGTTCCTGGCGAACCGTGCTCCAAACATTTGGTCAATATGTCAACCTAAGATGTGGTCTGCGGTTTCATGTTTTGAATGTCGCAAGGACCGCACCGCCCGACTGACATTCCCTAACCATAGGTTGAGCATGACTTTTGGGGAGGCTGTGATGTGTGTGTGTGTGTGCGTGTGTGTGCTTGAGGTGTCTGCGAGCGATGGTGCCGGGAGATGCTGTTCCAGGTTCGGTCAGTGAAAACTGCGTCGTCTTTCTTTTTGCCCTTGTTTCATCTCCCACGCATGCCGCGCATGTGCCCGCGCAGGCATCTCGGAAGTCTTGGTGAAGGCACCTGAAGGAATGCTTCGAATGTCGGTACCGGCAGCGGCAGATCCTGGCGACACTCTGGTATTCACGAAAGGACTCGCATCGGGATCGTCGGGGACATACATGTGCCAAGTTCAAAGACGGCATGGCGAACTCGTGGCACCATCGGCAATAGGTCCTGCAGAGGACCTGCGCAGGCATGTGGAGCTTCAACGGGCTCTGCAGGAAAGCTCGGGATACTGGAGTCACAAAATCGAGCGAGCAACTTCGAGCATGCTGGAGGTACCGGGCGTTGTCGTTACCGAAGCAGTTGCTGAGGGAGAAGTCCTTGCCGTGTGTCCCAGTGCATTTCACCTTTCCCCTGGTTTAATCCGTCGCCTCGATCCAGACCTGGCGGCTCTTGCGGCTGTGGTTGCACGTGAGGCGCCCGCTGACAACCAGGACATCGATGTTTTTTTGGTGGCAATGTTCTTGGCGGGCCTGTTGAATCGTTGTACACGGGATTGTGCCCCTGAGTTGGATGATGCTCGAGGAGTGATTCTGCATCTGTTTGCCAAAGTGCTCCTGTGCGAGACCTTTGAACATCATCCATACAGGCTTGCTGCAAACAATCCAACAGGCTTTCGAAGCAGCCTCAGTCCCTCTTGCGAGGCAGACTTGATCGAGCGCTTGTCTTGGGGGGTTATGGAAAGATACCGTCTCATTGGCATGGAAAAGCGGCCTCAGTATTCTTCAGAAGAGTTCCTCCGTGCCTGGCTCATGGTCATCACGCGTGCCTTTGAAATCGGAGGCACACGCTCCACACTGGTACCCGGATTGGACTCCTTCAACCACGATTCCAGCCGAAAGTGTGCCAAGGTGCGCCTGGACTCATCGGGCGATATGCGTCTGGAAGCTACGCGCTGCATCATGCCCGGTGAGGAGGTTTTTCTGGAGTACGGTGAGCTTTCGAATCCCATGCTCTATCGAACCTACGGATTTACATTGCCAGCAGAGGCTGGGTTGACTTTGAAACACAACCGGTTGCTCCTAGGGTAAGAATGTTGCCGTCCCAGGTCCCTACTGTCCAGAGCTGCTTGATCTTACCGAATCGACTCCAGCGAGCCCCTCGAACCTGTTTTCAGAAGGAGGGGATTTTTGCTCTTGTGGGTATGCTTGCGTAAGAAACCATTTCCTTTCACGATGCTCGTTGAAGCCTTGGTCAGAAACATGAGAAAGAAGCATGCATTTTTCGCACAGCACAGAAACCGCGATTAAGACAGACCTTTGTGTAGCAGTGCATTAGCTGCAGGTGCAAATCAGAATGCACTACAGCTTCCAGCACTGACACGACAGGATAGGTATATTAGTCCAGATCTCAATCGGATGCGGTTTTGGCAAGAGTTTTGAAAGGTGGGAAAGTCTCCCCAGCTACTGTAGCTAGACTCGGGGACTTGGTGCCAGGTTCTGAACCAGCACCTTCCGTCCAGCCACACTGGTCGATTGCTTCAGTTGGACTCCAATCAACTGCTGCCGGAACTCCGAAGCCTGCTGCAGGCCGGCAGTCACTGTGCTTGTTAGCCCAGATCCCGTCCAGATGCAGGCGTGTGCCAGCCTTGGGAGTGGAGAGCCTGCTCAGTTTCTCCGCGAGCTGCTGGAATGCCACCTTGATGCTTGGCACTTCAGGGGGCATGTCATACGACTGTTCTTCTTTTTGCTGAAAATTGGGGACACAGGATCCAAGTTCAGCTTGCACTTAATAATCGCAACTCAGCCCGCACCCGAAAGACGCGGTAGCCCCTGAAGCCCTGCTGTTCCTCTCAAGAGCCAGGTGCGTGCACTAGAGGGATAAGTGTGCAATGCCCACCTCGGATCAGGATTCCACGACAGCAATGTCCACTGAGGTTGAAAAGCGTGGAAGGCATGTCGTGTATCTTCAGGTGAGGGGTATCTCGTACACACCTACACTGTCCTTGACGGCTGCGACCCTCATGCATGGCGAGAATGAAGGAGCTGTCATTCAACTGTGCGACCTGCAAACAGGTATCCAAACAGGAACACCAGCACTCTCAAAGCAGACGACTGTCATGCGGGTGACTTGCCACTGGCGGCAACCAACGAAGCTGGGGTCAACGTTCTTATGCTCGTCCATGGAGCTTTCCTTCAAGACACTAGCTCACTACCAGCAGCAATTCGAAATGCAGCATCATGAATCAGGTCAGTGATCAGTGTCAGCACATTGATGGCAGCGGCGCCACTCGAAGAGCTGCAGGAAGGTGAGTCGCAATGACATGGGCCAGCAAGGCAACACGGCCCCACCTGTCATTATCACCATCTCGCTAGTGCACGCGCAGAGCGTGGCGCTGGTTCTCCGAGCCAGGATGCCAGAGAGCAGCACCGGGACCGTGGCACTGCCGGTGTGCCCAAAAAGGCTTACACCCTTCGGCTGGTGTTGCCGCACTGTCCGGCTTTCCTCACTCAGTCCCGTGCACGCTGGGCGAAACTGGCACCAGCTCGCCGCACACGGCCCACGGCGGCTGCGGGGCATGACAATGAGCCGTGTTGGGTCACGGGCCGGGCCGTACTGACCGGCATGCCAATGAAACAACAACTTCCCTTTAATCAAGCAAGATTTTTCCAATCAAAAAGACTTGCCAAAAATAAAACTCACCTTTTCAACAGGAGAGAATGAGGGAGGAAGGAAGGAAGAAAGGAAGGAAGCAAGGAAGGAGGGAAGGAACAAAGGAAGGAACAAAGGAAGGAACAAAGGAAGGAAGGCAGGAAGGAAGGAAGCAAGGAGTCAAATAAGGAAGGAAGAACTCAAGGAAGAAAAAAAGGAAGGAAGCAAGCAAGCAAGGCAGCAGGGAAGGAAGGAAGGAAGGAAGGAAGGAAGGAAGGAAATCAAGAAGGAAGGAAGGCAGGAACGCAGGAANNGAAGAAGGGAAGCAAGGAAGGAAGAACTGAATGAAGGTAGAGAGAAAGAAGTGAAAGGAGGGATGGATACTACTAGTCTAGTACTACGGGTACTACTGCTAGTACTAGGAGTGCTATTGCTATTATTATTCTTATTACAACAACAGCAATGACTACTACTACTACTACTAC